CAATGAAAGTAATCTGGCACCTGGCACCTAAAAGAGATGTTTAAGTTCTGTCAGACACAGACACCAATTCCTCAGGCTGATTGCTGGACTCTTTTTTGACCCAACTGAGGTCCCAGTGCAGAACTGTTAGGTCTTTTTGTACACTCAGACACCAGGAAATGCTTTCTGGATTTAACTGAGTAGCAATATCTTGCCTTTCTGCAAGACAAAGCCTCCAGCACATGAGACCCACTAACTCTCACAGCAGCTCCGTCTCCCAGGTCAGTACCCACTCCACTACCTGCCATTCAGAGCCATCCTTAAAGCTCAAGATATTGGTTGCTAGTCCCTCTTCCAAAGACTTGACTGTCTCAAGGAGCAGCAAGGTAGGCAGCAGTGGCAACCTCACCAAAAAAGAGCCAGGAAGTCGAGTCAGAGATTCAAGGCCAGGATCAGGTCTGGAGACAGTAACCAGGATCAGTCACAGATCATCCAGGTCTGAGGCTAAGCCAGTAAGTCAAGCCAGAGGGTGAGGATGAGAGCGAGAATCAGGCAGGTAGAAGACTGGGAGCAAGCGGAATTGCAATGCTGCTGTGGAGTCGCTCAGGTGAGGGCCAAGCAGAAGAGCTTCAGGTTTAAAGCCACCGCAGAGTTAAGGAGGCAGAGCCCCCACCAAGGCTCCCTAGCAGCAAGCAACTCTGGGACAACAGATCTTAGCAGCAAGCTGGCCTCTAACCACCAGCTGAAAGGGTCTTGACAGCCTGTGATTACAGGCAAGCTCAACAGACACAAACAGCAAATCCTGTATTTGAAAAAAAAAAAAAAAAGAACAAGCTAGGTACTTACATCTAGGAGCTGGTTTTGGGTGGAAAATTCATCTCACCTAAGGCTTCACATGTAAGCTCACATGAATCACGGAGGAGGGAATTTTAAACACAGTCTTTTTTCTTTAACTTAGGCTCTACCATTTCAGGCTGTTGGCCATTGTGGACTCTATTCCTGTAACACAATGATCCTTGTGAATTAATAAACCACGAACTTCAGCATCTATGTTCAGATTCCTTTCCTGGTTCTGGCACTTAAAACTCAGCCAAGTCAACATTGAGTGCCTTTGTGTGAACCTAGTCCTTAGTGCATAAGTTAACAGGATCCACAAAAAACTGCAAGTTGGTTAGTCTCTCCAGCATGCACCAAAGGGGCTAGAATCTATTTAGTTAAGTGATGAAGGGAAGAGGTCAGCAGCCAGCCATTGCTTTTGGATTTAAAAAAAAAAAAAAAAGTTTATTTAATCTTTAAAATTCAAGGATCTTAAAGACATTAAATATTTTAGACTCTCTGTAAGTGGATATATTATGATGTTTGTAATGAAAACTTGTATTCACAAATTTGGATTTTGCAGTCTGAACTTTGGAAGTTTAATTAAAGGCTTACTAAATTCTGTTTCTGCTACTAAAGTGTGGATTTTATTTAAAAATTCCTGGTTTTTGGAAAAAGAAAGCACTAATAAAAAGTCACTTCATTTAGCAAATCATCAATTGTATTCATCTGATTGTGTCCAATAGGTGGAAATGATTACACAAGGTAGTAAAAATCCTTGCTCCTTGTAAGTAATTAGAGTTTTATGCTTGTTTTCTCCAAGTTAGGATTTGATCCCAGTAGTGTAGGGATCAGTTTATATTAAGGAATTACAATAGCAACTTGAATTTCATAAAGTTCTATGGGATTACCATGCGATTGTTTCACTCATTGAGGTATCACTGCCAGCCAAAACTCCTCTTTGTCTCTTAGCATATTCTTTCCCATGTTCGGATATGTGCTATGAAAACAGACAAAGTGAATTCTGGCAACTACACAAGCTATGCAAGAAAAGAGTTTTGTATCACCTCTATTAAAAAACTTCCCCTTTCTTACCAGTTCTGTACATGCTACTGGTGTCAATTCTCAAGGTAAGTCAAATCTCCCCAGATCAATGGTGTACCTTATTGGGGCCTCTCCAGCACAGAAGTTTCCTGACCCATCTTTTTACCCTTCCTTGGAGGTCTGTAAGAATTTCCTACAAATGTTTTACTACTTCTTTTAGCTACATTTGGTGTTTGTCACATTAGCCAACCTACATATGTAATTTTAATCAAAATATCACAACTTCTAACTAGATCGCCCCATCACTTCCCACCTTCTGAATCTGTCTCTTTCTTTGGTAAATTGTATACTCTGATATTTTTACATTAAACCATTTAACCAGGAGTCAGTCGTGTTTCTACTTTAAATGTTTACTGTTTTGTTCTGAAGCATCACTTCATGTTCCTCACCTTTTTACACAGATTGTCTTCATAAGAGAAACTGAATTTCCTTTCTCTAAGCATTGCTTTCTATCCATATTATTCACTTCAACAACTTAAAAAATTACTTATCCTTTGAAAGCTGGCTAATCTCTCTCCCATCTTTCACTACCTATCCTTTTGCTAAAACAACACACATAAAACTGAATACTAAAATTACAAGACTACTTCCCTGCTAATTTCTTATACAGATACGGCCTGTCAGTTCTAGATGACTTTGGATCAGTCCCAAACAAAAGAAAATATTCTGGGTAGTATAATCCTGCATGGAACAATGTGATCTGTATAAAAAATCACTTACTGAATCACCAGCACCTCTTTCCACTCCTAGGAGATCTCCCATCGAAGCAATGCCTGAATTAGTGCAGAGTGATTTGTGGCTTTCCAGCTGTCGTTCATTAATTCTTAGGAAATACAATATACAATACAATAGTACTCAGCTTGAGGTTGTAGTCTGCGATTTCTTAGGAAGAGTGTAATTTGCCTGCTGAATGTTCTTTAAAATTGTTTTCAAACAAGAACTGTAGCCCATTATTTCTATAACCCCTCAAACACATTTCACTCCTGATGAAATATTCTATCAGTCGCGCAGACCCATAAAGGAAGAAGGGTAAGGAATTGCATCTGTGGAGAGTCTGGTCTATGAAATGAATGGCTGAGTTGAAGACAAGGGGTTTTACTCCAGTACTTTGCCATTCACATATCTTTGGCAGAGAGGAAAGCACAGACAAGTCTGACAGCAGGGGCTCAAAGTGACCTGGGCACTCTGATCCACTGGCTTTGGCACTTTACCATCTGGCTGACCTGTAAAAGTTATCCTGTTTTAAAAAGAGCATTGCTGAGCTATAATTCACCACTAGCTGCTTCGTTTCTTTGACCAGAGACAAGAGAGGATGTTGTGACGTGCAGACCCCGTTTGAGGATCCAAGAGCCTGGGGACCTACCTCTGGAGCGAGCCAAGGAGCTGTTTGCACAAAGCCAGTCAGAGAGACTGTGTAATGCCTGCTTCATCAAGGACTTTTGGCAAAATCTATGACAAGTTCAGCTCAGCCAAAAACACCGCACCTTTAGACATCCACTGTAGCAGAACTTGAGCACACAGGGAAGTCTTCTGGTGGGTCTCAGGCACCCCCAGCTTCCCAGAAATCTGAGAAGGCTGCATAGGTATTTTTTTTTAAGTCTATTGCTCTCTTGAATTTACATGTTAATTAGCCTGAACTGCACATTAGGTACCTAAGAGCTTTTTCCCCCTTTAACTCTTACACGCTTGGTTTAAGAAGTAAATAAAAAGATAGGAGCAGGAGGTAAACCTGAAACAAGAATCCCTGACAACAAATATTGGGGTTAACAAAGCATAGCCATTGTTCAGTGTTTAGTAGGCACCACGACAGCAATTATTTTAAGGAAGGATTTGAAAAACAATGCTTCAAGTATTTTTATGGCAAACTCCTCCCATGCTCAAGGGTTTTCATGCTTTTAGCTATTACATCTGCAACTGAAGCTAACTGTGAAATTAGCAATTTATTTATCCCATGGTACATACACAGACATTTGCAACAGTAAAAGTGAGTAAAGGTCAACAGTGAACAGTCTGAGTAAAAGTTAGAACTATTTTTAACAGATTTTGTCATTCAGTATTTAATCAAATACCTGCAGAGATTCCCATATTGAAACATCAAACATATTCCCTGTTCCTTCTTGTTGCTCATATCACTAATAGTGTTAACACACTGTTGTTACTTCTAAACAACGTAATACGAGCTCTGCCAAAATAACAAGTCAGGACAAAGGAAAGTTGACCTTAAAAATGGCTGCCTGAATTGCAAGGAAAAAGAAGATGCCATTAAGTATAAAATAGAACAATAAATGCCTACAATTTGTAAACAGCTTTTGATTCTGTAACATTTAGTAAAAATAGGTCTCCTTTGGAATGCATGTACACATTGAGATATTTTTCAAGATTTTATCTTTACAAAAACTACGTTAGAACTTTTAGTCTGTTTCTTATATTGTGTCCCATTCTTAAATATATATAAACACAAAGGGAAAAATCTCTCTTATGGAAATTAACTATTTCTGATTATTTTGGCACAGATTTGAAAGAAGATTAAATAGGATATAAAGTTGTTGCTAATCTTATTTGGAAGGTATAACTGATAAACAAAAAGGCATACTGAAGGCATGTTAACAGTGATAAAATTACCTAGACCACTCTGTGTACATAATTACCAATAATTTAGATTTCTACATCTGAAATCAAGATGTAATTATGCATTATTCTATTTTATATTTAGTCACCTCTGTAAAATAGAAATTTCAGTTTAGTGAACAATGAACATACAGATGTTCCTAAGAAAAGCAGCATCTGAGACATCAGAAAAAAATTACATTTTATCTCCCTCATTCATCCAAAATCAATGGAATATAATAATCACCACTGTTTCTTAGTGATTTTTTATGGAATTGAAGGTAATAAGTACATAAAAATTGACGTTTTCTTGTAAAAGCAACAGCAGTAATACCTGTAGACAACATGATGTGTGAGCAATACTTTCTGAAAGTTTAGTGAGTGCCTCTTTCCTTTTCTAGTAATTTTTTTAAGGCTGGAATTTTTTAAAATTGTGCATTTGAATTAAACTAAGACTACTACTATCATATCTATAAAATGAGAACCTGAGTTACCTGTATAGCTGTGAGGATATTGGCTAACGCCTGGCCATACGTGTCATGACAGTGAACAGCAAGGGCACTCAGAGGAATTTCTTTCATAACAGCTTCCAACATTCTTTTCATACTTCCAGGAGTCCCCACACCAATTGTGTCCCCCAGAGAGATTTCATAACAGCCCATACTGTACAGCCGCTTAGATACCTGATTAGAAACAGAGAAACATGAAAAGGTCAAGACGAAAGAATATAAGAGAGGGTCAAGAACATACATGAAAAAGGACACACTTCTGTAAAAGTTTCAGGTTTTGACCCAGCAAGGTGGACCTATGTATCAGAAACCCCTATTAATTCTTGAAAATTGTTACCCAAGAAGAATGTCCCATAGATACTCTTATTTTAAATTTATAGTTCTGCTTCTGTACATGGAATAACCAACCAAGCCAAATCCATCAAAAACTTACTTTTTGACTCTCCCACAGAATCCAAATAAGCAAGATTTTACACTATGAATTAAGTTTCTGTCAAGCCCTTTCCCAACATTTTCCTCTCTCTGGGGATTTCCCAGCTGTTTGGTTTTCTCCGTGTACTTTTCAGCTTACAAATTGTGCAGGGTAAAGACCTGCCTTTTTGTTTGCTTATTACATGGAGCCAAGCACATGGCTGAACTAAGACAATAAATAATTAACAAGAAGCCTGATTTTGCTTTCTCTTGGCACTGAAAACATCAATGAAAACTGAAGTTTAAACTTCTTGCAGTTAATATTAATTTTGCTTGCTTTTCATGAAATCAAACATTAAAATACTAATAATGCAAAACTGTAACTTAATTAACATTCTAGTCTTTAAGTTTTAAAATTTTTCTTAATACAAAACAAAACCCTATACAAAGAGTTCTTACTTGTGTAAGTAGAGCCCTAAATGTTTCTGGAATTACGTCTTTGAGTTCTTTGTACAAGTAAGAGATTTGAGGTCTGGCTTCATAATGTTTGTATGGAGAGAGACATACACTCTGAAGTAGAACGTTATGCTTGCACCAAAAATATTGCTTTAGAAATTGAATGTAGGATCTTTCCATCTTGGTTTTTGTTGAATTTATTTGAAAAGGGTTTAACCTTATTTTCAGTTGCTGAGCATGTTTGTCCTCTTTGGCATTCCCCACTGTGTATCAGCAATCCCAAAAGGCCAATCCATGGGAACAGAATCCCAATCTGGAAATTAACTGTTTAGAAATGACAAAATACAACCCTTTTCCAAGGCATCTTCAGTTGCATTGCACTCTGCTGTTAAAGCAATTCCAGGATTTCATCAGTGGGATTGCTGTGAATATGTCTGAGGAAGCTGACAAAGTGCTGCACCAGCAGTCTCGGAAGTGCTGGATTAATATTGCTGTTCACTTAATTCAAAGAACAGCTGAAAAAGAATTTCAAGTAGTCTGAATCGTTCTGCTTAAAGCTCAGAAGTGCTATGACTATTGCAACGGTAGTAAAACTCTTTGTGCTTTACAGTCAAAAAGACCCTGGTTCGTATCAATGTAAATTCAATATATGCTTGACAAAAGGGACATTCACCAGATTGCAAAAAAAGATTCTATCTTCCAGCATATTTTCATATCACCAACACAGGGCAGGTGTTTTAACTGGACTACTGTTGTAAGAAAAAAAAAAAGATCATCTGCAGTTAGTGGTAGATTACCTCTAGTTAACCCCCAAACTTCCATTTTTGTTTAAGATCAGAGTAAAAGAAGCAGACTGCATTTTTTTCTCATGTTCTTTTTCATTCACGATGTAAAGTTTCTCTAGATGAGCACTGTAGTGATGACAAAGAGACTAAACTGCTAGAAATCATGTTGCATTCACTTCCTTCTCATGCTCAGTTCTTAGGTGTCTCAGCTTCCGAAAATAAAATTATGAAAGATGAAAGAAGAGAAGGGGAAACTCTAACAAGCTGAGCATCATCACTGACTTGTCATGATCTAACCTTAAATTAACTCTTAAAAAGAGATCTATATTTAATTTCCAGAAGAATGTGCATGCTTGGAAGCTGAATGGGAGTTTTTCATATTGGATTTTCTATCCTACCATAGTAGGAGTCAGCCCATTAGTTACAGTTTTGTAAGTTTTCAATGTGGATTTTTGGGAGGAGGGTGGGAGAGAAGAGAACACACTGTTTTGTCAATGTAAGCAGAATGTGATTACGAGCTTGCAGCTTTGTTGATTGAACAGGGTTGTGTTCTGCACCACTGAGCAGTTTTACTATGTATGAGTCTTGTGCTACTCCCCTTGGGAGCACGGCCCTGACACCAAGCATTGATCAAAATGGGAGTTGGTGACCCAACACCGCAACCCCTTAGGCATGTGAACAATCCTACTGCTGGAAATAATATCTAAAACTATACTCTTAAACTGAACACAAAAGGTCATAACTGAGTTACAGATGATTTTGAGCAAATAACTTAAAAACACACTGCAGTCCCTGTGCTGTAAGGGAAATTTTGTAATAATCCAACAGCATTCAAATAAGAATAGGCACATTTTCTGTAGCCTGATCAGCCTGTATGCTGGATAATACTTACATGAATTCACTGCTCTAAGTTAAAAGGAAGCTAAAGAGAGAAAGAAGCAGGCAGAAAAATAAAAACAACCAATATAACTGGAAGACAATGGATAACACAACCGGCTTCAAGGATGTTACATGGTGCTTCCAACAACTTCCAAGCCTTATTTGCCTAAGGTTGAAATTCAGAAACCACAGGATAATAAATGGTTAAAACAGTGACTCCATCTCAAGAAAAAGCAGAGTGATAAAAAAGGACTATGCAGTTTATTTTAATAGATGAGAATTTTTTATTTTTTTTTAAATAAAGAACCATATGGATGTACGGGATAGATTCTAGAAGTCTGAAAGCATCTGAAGTTTGCATTCACTAGGTAACTATGTGTAAAACAGTTGTGTACCTGTAAGCCAGAAATGCGTATAGTCTGGTTAATGAGCCACCTCTCCTAATTGGTTTTGTTTCAGTTAAAAAATCTTTTGCTTAAAAGCAAACAAAAAAAATTGGTTACTGTCATTCACTGCGGAAGAAACAGTCAAAACCTTTGAATCATAGCTGCTGATTGCAATGCGCAATCAAGGGAGTCACGCATTCCCATCCCGAGAAAGATGATGACCAGAGCTCCCTTGAAAGGGTTTAACAACGTGGCCGGTAATTTTGATAATTCTGATTCAGCAAAGGATGAGTGCATGTGTTTATGTAAAATCCATTAACAGCTAATCAGATGCTACTACATAAACATCAATGCTTGCTGAATCAGGTCCTCCACAACTTCAATGAGGCAGCTTTTATTCTTAAACACATACACAATGGTGTACGGGTACACAAGAAGACACTTATTAGGATGAAGACAGAAAATAAAATATCTGTGTGAGTAAAAGTTTGCAGGTTTGGAACATTAAAGTGCACTCCCACTGGCAAACTGAAAAAGAGCTCTTCTGTGCAAGGAGAGTAGTTAAAGAACAAACAACACATGGAAAGAAGCCTGTTGGGGAACATGATATTGCAGTAAGCAATTTACCAACAGCACAGCTGAATCTGTCATCGCCGCTCTAACTAAAGCTGTGTCACTTCTACCTTTCACTTCATACTAAACCCAATTAATGTAGAAATACCGAGTACCTTCCAATTTAGCTATTTTTTTTCAAAGACTGTGAATATATGTGGCTGCTGTGGGAGAAATATTATCACAAGTTCCATCTGGAATGTATACTAGAAGATGATGCAGGAGAACAGGACCTGAAAGCCACACAGGCAGAACACAATATATCAGACAAATGTCGACTAGCTGCTAATGCTACAAAGGGAAAAAAAAAAAAAAAAGTGGTTCGGGGATTCTGCTAGATCACCAAAAGTAGGTGATTAAGCGTAACAGAGAAGACAAGTCTTTCTCCAGGAGGAAAGCCAGTGTGTCCTGCCTTGTGCCTCTTCAATTCTCTCCACTTTTTTCTCTACTGTCCATTTCAGTTTACATGCCCTCTGTCTTCCTGCAAAATTTAACACTTGTGTTTCACTTGTCTCTTTCTTTGCTGGAAAAAAAGGCTGGACTAAGACATCGTCCTTCATCTCTTTTATCCCATTTTTATTTTATTATGGGAAAAGGGGACGGGGAGGGAAGGTGCAGCTTATTCCACCACAGCAGCAGAGCAAGTAGTAGGAAATCATGTTGGGGATGAGTTTTGGTTCCTGTGTCAATCACATGACATTCACCAGAAGCACAATGTTGTAGCAGTGGCTCTACCAGCTGACAGCACAGTATGCTTATACCAGCAGAAAATGGATGTTAAAGCAGACACCCTTTGCGAGAGATTGTGCTGGAAATCATCATGTACAACACGGTCCGCTGACATATGTGCTTGAGTCTATTTGCTTAAGCACTTCCATACCTTCTTGTTGGAGGAAATAGCACATAATATTTTTCCTCATGACTGATAACAATCAAAACATACTATTTTCCTTAGATTTGACTGCACATGGTTGAGTGAGGTTATGCATCCAGTTTTAGTATTAGCTATGTTTCATGTTTGTTTTCCTTAAACTTTATCCATTAAAGATCTTTTTAGGATTAAGTAAAGCACATTACTTAAGAGACATTTTTTAAATGTATTTTTGATTAATTAAAAAGACAAGCCAGAAATTCACTCTTACTTCTGCCACTTTAGCTGGTATGATGTTTCCTTCATATGGGCATCCCAATGCACATGACACATACCTACAATAAAAAGAACAAAGATACTTCTGTTTTATATATGTGTATCTGTATCCACCCATGTTACATTAAAAAAAAGAGGTTAAATATAATTTTGAATATTTAAGCCAGTCAATGAAGAATAAATATTTGAATGAAAAGTTAAAATTACATCAGATGAAAATAGCAGGTTTTTCATTTTTCTTTTTAAATCACAAAAAAGAGACTTATAACTTTATTTATGCTCAATGTATGCCACAAGTTGTAAAGGACTGGCAATGCAGCCAAGCTAACGCTGCTGCAGGAGACTTTGGTTTTTCTTGGTATTTCCTTCTGAAGTTGTAAAAGCCAGCTCAAGTTTTGCCCTGCCTGGCCCACACTAGGTATTCAGAGGAAGACAGCATCTTCTTCCTTGTGCCACCTACCTGTATTGTAGAGAGCAACACATGGACACAAGCAACTTCTAACAACCCCATGATCTCATAAGTCATTAGAACTGTGGTGAATGAGGTAGCTTTCACCCTCTTATCTCTGTACTGGCATTTCTGTCCCCGTGCCCCAGAAGAATTATAGCTCCATTGTAAGCTGTAGTTTAGGTATGCCTTGGGACAAGAAAAGAAGAAACTGAGAAGCCAGACTGTGTCTCTCAGCAGCTGTCGGCTCCACAAAGCACAAAAATTGAAAGCCACAACCAAGCCTCCATTGTTCAGTCTTAATGCCATGTTAGCGTAGAATTTGGTTTAAATCTCCTTTTTTAAATGACAATTAAGAGCCATGAAATTCCAGTTAAACTTCTAATTGTTTATCTTAAATTGATTAGGAGTAGGATTAAACTAACCAGAAACAGCCATTCAAAATCAAAATAAGTGTGGCTGTAGAGGGATTTACAGATTCAGAGGCAGGCAGAGCCCCAGTCCCTGTGGGAGGTTGCTCAACTGCTTAATAGAAGAACAAGAGCCTTCATCGATCCCCCATTGTTCCCTTTCCCTCAACACTAAAGGATATAATGTAAAATTATACACTATATAATGCAAACAGGATTGAACAGATGCCAGTTTGTATGTAGTCAAGGTCCACAGGGTAAAGGATGTATTGTTTCTTTGCAGTTGAAGGAGAAACTGATTGATAAAATGTGAAATTAGGATGAGTTTCAGGCAAAAACAAATTGTGAAAGAAATGTCAACATTTTAATGTGTAGAATATATAACGTCCCCTACATGAAGGTACAGTGTTGGCACACTGGAAGTAGCAGTAAGAAAGAAGCAAACCTTGAACCTAAAAAGAATCTGATTAGCCCTGACCAAGAAATGGAAATGAATTTTGTTTCCATAAAAGTGGTTGGGTCCATTATATCCTGCTCATAATTTTAGTCCAGATGCCTACTAGGCATGATTTCAATTATCTGTATGTCATTATGAAAAGCAGGTTTTTGAAACTTGGCCATAGACTTCACTAAATATCACCCCCAATTTAGATGTCACTGTTTAAGTTTTGAAATTCTAAGTTTTCTTATCTACACTAAAGATAAAAAAAAGTAGCTACTGTTAACAGTTAAACACTGCCCTGCTTTTCAGCAACACATAATCCAAAAACAATTCAGGATAATTTCCTTAATTTTTTTACATATACAGTTTTTCAAATGAAACCAAGCATGAAAAAATTCAGACCCAAAGGATTGCTTTTTACATAATACTACAGTGCCTAGAGCTAGTCAATACACAGCCTTTTACTAAAATTATTTTGCAACATCAGCCACAGCACTTACTATAAAGGGAGCAAGCACAGTACTACATACAAAGTAAATGCAAAACATCCAGTACGTATGTGCACATGGTCCCTTTAATTACATATATCTTTACATGTTCCTAACGGCTACATATGTTAGATCAAGAAGACATGCATTTGGTAGTGATAATGTGGCATGAATGACATCTGGAATGGAGCAAGGCAAGCAAAAGTAAAAGCAGGCCAAAAGGTATCTAGAGAACAAGGGAATACTCCCTGTGGTTCACACCAGTGAGCAGAAACTCGCCTGAGCTCTCATAATTCAGCTGGGCCTGCTGGGGTATGAAAGTATGCGGTGACCTGAGGAATCTGCCTACTACGATGTACAAATCTGTTGGAGATTATGAACTCTCTGCATGCTTACACCATTGTGACTAGACTGACATTTTAAACAAGGAAAATATGATGGATGTAATCTATTTAGGCATCTGATATTCAATATTAAACTGGAGAAAATAGGGACTACTGAAAGAATTTGACAGGTAAAGAACTTCCTACCAAAGAGAGAACAAAGTCCTGTGGAGAATGAAAGATCTGTTTTTCAGTAGACTTCATCAAGGATGAGCTTGGCAGAATTTTATCTAATATTTTCATTTAATGAATTGGCATAAAAAGTAGAGATGTGGTGATAACATTACATTTCTTGGTATTGTCAATACAAAAAAAAAGCACTGGGATTCCATGAAGAAAGGACAGGAGCAATAGAAATGGGACTCAGTGGCAATGACAAAGAAAGTGGAATGCTTAAAATGAGACTGTAAAAGAGTAAATGTGTATCAGGACAAGCATTTTTAATAGAGGACATAGAACATGAATTCCGTTTGACAAGGTCTTGCTATATTCTTGTTGGAAATAAGAGATATAATTTGAATCATTTGTAGACAAAGTAATGCAAGCTGAACAGATGCAGGCAAGGGCTGACTGAGTACAGCTAGCATGGCTACAGAGAGCTTATCATATGAAAGAAGAAAATATGCATTCCTATGTGAGAGAGGGAAGATAATCATGTGTCTGGCCTCAGCATTTACCAAGACATCTAAACTTAAGGCAGTGCCGGGTAGGATGCTTTGTAATTGCATTTGTGTGGTTCCAAATTAATAAGCTTAAGTGAGAGGAAATAGGTTTCAATGGGAAGGGAGATCTTTTATCTACAGATACATTTGGCTGCTACATTTTTTTTTTGTGTATGAAATAACCTGTAAGGCATTAAAAGCACAAGAGAATCCAGCTAAAGCAGGAAGGAGTTCTCCAAAATGGGAGAACACTTTGAAGAACATGCTGAAGAACTGCTTAGAAAGAAGAAAATTAACAAGATAGAGCCATAAAAAGCAACAAAAGACACAAGTTTAAAGAAGAGTCTGGTCAACTGCAGCAAACACTACTGACAATTCAAGAAGAATGAGGATAGACTACTGTTTCGGAGATCTTGTCATCAGGGAGTTTGGTGAGAGCTGTTGCAGTTGCAAGCAAGGAACAGAAGCCAAAGTGTACAAGTTGTAGGAGGCAATCACAGAAGAGGGTCTCCAGACAGTAATTATAAACAGCGCCTTCAATGAGCTTAGGAATGAAGAAGAGATAGGCGATGAGATATGATATGAAGAACCAAGTAGGGTCAAAGGTGCAATTTTTAAGAGGCAAATGCTTGCTTATATTGCAGTGGAAAAGAGCCAGAGGACAGTGAGAGGTTAAGAAAGAGAGTAAGGGAGGGGAGAAATAAGAGGAAGAACAGAACATGGGGTCACTGGGGCAAAGTGGAAGGGGCACAGATGGAAAGTAGACAAGAAACTCCTGCTGCTCTGACAGTGGAGGAGAAAGGATTAGGGGAGGGGAGGGAGAAGACAGTGACAGAAGGAAGAGCATACTGCATCTATTTTTTCTTAGGAGAAAAAGCAAGAGCCGATGTGAAGAAAAGCAGCAGAGGGAAAAAGAAGAGTTTGAGCAATGAGTTACAGAGGCAACTGGGATTTAATTTGGAAATTCAATTAAGTTGGAGAATACAGCTGTTTTCTAAAAAGATGGCAGGACTGAAAGAAAAAAAAGACTTTGCACTGAAAAAGACTGTCTTGGTCTCAGGGTATTCACCAGAGACACTCCACAGTATGAGAGCAGAAGCAAGTATCTGGGAGTTCACAAAGCAGACTCTGCAATGGAAGTGTTTAATTCTAAGTATGTGCTTAAATCTTTGCTGAATCAAAGCCAGATATTTTAGTAGCTTAACTACATCTTTAGCATGCAATCAAGAAAAGAGGCCATGCAACCAGAGGTGGAAAGAAGGACCTGCAGTAAGTGCATGTATCTATACAGCTGCTTTAGGAACACACAGGTAAATGCTGTTTTGCTCACTCAGGTTCTTTGAAATCAGCATTCCTCCCTTTAATAAAAAGTGATAAAAAGAAGTTCTGTACTTGTTTCACCTGGCAGAGTTTACCTAGTCTCTTGCCTGTTCTACAGATGTCACTGCAGGTGAGTATCATTTGGTCTTCTAAATTGTTTTCTATGCATATAAAAACAATTTAAAAATAAACCCCAACAACTTTACTGTGTCATATTTTGGACAAAAATGCTGAACATCCTCTGGGGATGGGGAGGGAGAAGGAAGAGGAAGAGAGTTTTCAATTCCTTCCAGTAAGCCAAAACCAAATTGCAATGTTCCACAAATGGTATAGACAGTATAAGGTCCCCACAATCAAGGTCACTAGGAATGGTGATAATCACCACGCCAGCCCAATGACTGTGAAGTGCAGGATATAAAACCACAAACAGGGTAAATGAGCAAACTTATCATAACCAAAGTGTGTTAAAAGGAAAATGAATCCAAGCAGAAACTGAACTCCATGTTGTAATCAGCCCTTTGTCAGCTTGTTTCAGCAAGAGTTCCAGAGCCAGATCCACAGCTGCTACCACAGCTGGAAGCACGGAGCCTCCTGAGAAGCCAGTTGCAGACTCAGATGCTGCTGTTTCCTGTTTATTATTATAGTGTAAGTTCACATATAATTTACCATGTTCACTGCAGATGTATTTATTTTTATTGGATGTTCGTGCTAAAATGTATATGCCTATCATTTGGTGAATTCATAATATTAAGGTTGATAGATTCTGTCTCTTTGCAAAGGAAGCCATTTGTTAAAAACAGGCAAGTTTTACTGTAAGGAGAAGGGAAATACAAAGAAGAGAAGAGGGAAAGCAGATTCTTCCAGAAACAGAATCTCCAAGCCAAGCCCAAAATGTGTAAATAAGGC